AATTCCTAGTCTTAGGCCTCTAATAGAAAAACCTGTCAGTTTGGGTAGGGATTCATCTGTCATAATTTTGATGCAGTTTTTTGCCATTTATGCATTGAAATCCTTGACTAGAGCAATGAGATTTTTTGATTGTATGGTACTTTAATATTGTGATTGTAATGAGCAATTAATTTTTGCATGATTCAGGATTCGTCGGGGTCACCAGGTTTACCAACAAGTATGTGCATCCTGCCATTCTATGTCTCTAATATCATACCGTGATTTGGTCGGTGTTGCATATACAGAAGAGGAGACAAAGGCTATGGCTGCTGAGATTGAGGTTGCTGATGGGCCTAATGATGAGGGTGAGATGTTCACCCGTCCTGGTAAACTCAGTGACCGTTTTCCTTCACCTTACACAAATGAAGCAGCAGCTAGGTTTGCCAATGGAGGTGCTTATCCTCCAGATCTAAGTCTTATCACTAAAGTAATTCCTTACTTTTTGAGCTTAGAACATTGTGGATATTTTGATTATCTATCCAAGAATTATCTTACTCTTGTTTCTTTTATTTCTTATTACAGGCTCGTCATAATGGGCAGAATTATGTTTTTGCCCTTTTAACTGGTTACCATGATCCTCCTGCTGGAGTTTCGGTAAATTCTATTTCATGGCCTATTGTTTAGTAATTCTTTCTATGTAGCATGTAATATTTCAAAATGCAAGTTTCAAGCATGCATGCACTTTTTTTTTTCTTGATTGTGAGGATAAGGGGAAAGGCGGAAAGCAAGCAAAGGGGTTCTGCCCTGTATGTACCAAAAATTTGTGTCACCTGTCCCTTCAAAATGCTTTCTTAAGTTTTCATCTCTAGGAGGAGCTTTCTTTCATTTGGTGCTGTTAGGCATATGTGGTGAATTGCAGGTTGAATATTTCAGAATCAGTAGGTGGTCAACTACCACATATTTATCTGTATTCTAAGTAGAATTGAATGAAGTGTCTGTTACATGTTTTCAGTTGAGAGCAATGCCTTTTCTAACATCATAACCAGGAATCTCAAATTTCATTTTAGATCCGAGAGGGGTTGCACTACAACCCTTATTTCCCTGGAGGGGCTATTGCTATGCCCAAAATGCTTATTGATGGTGCTGTAGAGTATGAAGATGGTACCCCTGCAACAGAAGCTCAGGTTGGTTTTGTTTCTTTTTATTTCTTAATTCTAGGAAGTCAGAAAACATGTCTAGCTATGAATCCATAAACCAAATGCTTCTAGGGCTAAATCATCCATATGTTTTGGTGCAGATGGGGAAGGATGTAGTGAC